AATTTTGGCTATTGAGTTAAAGTGTTCAAATAATTTTGAGTATAATTTCGGCAATTAATAAAGTTAATTTCGGCAACCATGAAAAAATAGGATTCGGTGACGATCATTTACTAATACTAAGTGAAATAATTTCGGCTAACATCTTTAATAAGGACAGTTCGGTAATCAGTAAACCCTAGAATGGTAGATTCCTTTTGATTGACTAATTGAGCTTCACATAGATTCTATAATGATTTATGTTTGTAATGAAATGATAATGACGAATTGATTGCAAAATTTATGTGTAATATAGGTATCTACATATGTTTGTAAAAATCCCAAATGAAGCATGGCAAAAGATTGACCCATTGAATAGGTATAAAGATATTTATTGATCTTTTTATAATCACAAACATTCAAGTTCAAACAATATGCGCTGAAAAAATATAAGCCGTGTGGAATTATCATTTAAAAAATAAGCATCACCATAAATTTTATAATTGAAATCACTGATGCTTCAAAAAACTTATATCCACAAAATAATGAGTTTAGTGATGGTGAGCGTCTAAAATAATTGATGCGTTCTAATCAAATTAGACATTATCGCAATGTACAGTTCAATGTCATTTAGCCACTACTAAATTTTTGTTGGTCTTGTAGATCCTTTAATTCCTTCAAAATGGAAATGTAAGACTAAAAAAACAAACCGTGATTTTGAAACTAGGGCCTTTCTCTACAAGTTACAATTTCATTTTGTTGATATGATGGAAGAAATTTTACTATGTATGAACTTGCGCCGATTCGTATTCTTGATACATTTTTACACCAGAATCTTTATTAGTAATGTCTTGTACAATCAAGATTCTTTTCCTCTCTACCAAATAATAAAAAGAAGATTGGACCTGATGAAACTGTTTGTCAGAAAGTATACCAATTCCATATACAAATATCTGTAACTTTCAAATGCACAATTAAAGGAACATCATTTAAGAACTGTTTATCAATTCCTGATTTGTCGAGTTCTAGTGAATTTAGTTTGGCTGCCAAAAATTTCCTGATTATTGGAGTTGTCAAAGATAGCACCTCGCTTATCCTTTGCCTTACAAATATATCCAGGCTGTTGCAATGAGCCAGCACACCTTGAACAGCAGTGACAACGAATTCTGTTTCTCAACGAATAACTGTTGTCTTTGTGTTTATACGAATTGGATATTTAATGCTAGTGTTATTATTGGTTTGTCGAGCTTCCATGAATTCATTGAAAATGGTCCAAAATGTAACTTTTTTCCAAAGAGCCAAGATAATTTGATATTTTTTTTTTCTTTTTATAATCGGCAAAAAACGCGAGATTATAATTAATTGATCGACAAAACTTGCGGATCACGAATTATTATTATTATGCCTGTGTCAGTTTTCTAGTAAACAAACGTTAAAATTACCCCCTTCTCCATAGGTTAATCATATTGTTCTTATTTAAAATTATTATTGTTGTTGTTGTTGTTGTTATTATTATTATTATTATTATTATTATTAACAATGGTGGTTGATAATTTACCATTGCTTGTTTAATGTGGGATCATCATTCAATAATTACTATTACTATCTATTATTACATCATTTTAATTGCTATCCTTTATTATATGCGATAAATTCATAACTCCTTAAATCCATAATTTTTCAAGAACTAGTGCCACTTATACGTATTAAAATTTTATTCGATAGTTTCATATTTATAGTAATAATAAAATCACGATAATTGGAATAATTCGATAAATTCATAACTCTCTGACTTTTTGTATATGTCACCATATGAAATCTCGCCAATCCCATTCATTTTTCTGGAAATTCTATCCTTTTATAGTAATAATAAAATCTTGATAAATTCATAAAATTTGCTGTGCCGAACCTATGAATTAACGAGCTTTGACTGTATTACTAATAATATTATTGATAAAGTTTTTTATAGAATAAAACAAAATAATATAGTAGAAACAAAGTGCTATTGGAATTTTTTAATCTTACTATTTTCGTTCTCATAATAATATAATAAAAAATTTTCTTTTGAACCCAAACCAATTTTGTGAGTATATTGATGATTTTTTTTTTTTTTGGGAACCTGAATGCACTAAAAAAAAAACTTGCATATTTTTTTTTTTTAAATAATAGAAATATTATTATTATATAATAATAATGTCTAATAATAATAACTCGGCTATAACAATTGTTAAAGATAATAATAATTGGAGGATACCAAATACATCCGAAAGCAGCAGTGGCTCTGTTACTACAACCACCACAACCAATAATCCAACCACCACAGCTATTATGAAATTAAAGGATTCTACAAAAACTGATCTTTCAACAACAAAAAGAAAAAGGCATTGGATAAATTATATATATACGCCAGAGGTTAAACATTTAATAGCTGGTGGAGTAGCTGGGGCAGTAAGCAGAACTGTTGTTAGTCCTTTAGAAAGAATGAAAATTTTGTTCCAAGTATGTATCGTAACGTGTGTATATACAATATATATACACATCTAATATATATTTAAGGTTTAATATAATTATATTACGTTTTATATATTCTTGTCACAACAAATAATGCCGTCATCATAAAGTAATAATTTATTTAAATAAATAAAAAAAAAATCAAAATTATATTAAAAAAAAATATATATATATATATACATACACAAATCGAAAAAAATAAATAATAGTAATATAAAATATAATATATATATATATAAAAGGGTCTATCTAAGAGTCCATTTGGTTGATGTTTTTATAATAATTAATTAGTTCTTCTCTTTCATCGTCAAATAACGTCAAAAATATCATCAAAAAATATCATCATCATCACTGGTCTTTCTCAATTGGATTTATTACTCATTTTGTTAGGTCCAAGGACCAGAACCTGCATCATATCAAGGAATTCGAGCAACATTGGTAAAAATATGGCAAGAAGAAGGATGGGTTGGGATGTTGAGAGGAAATGGTACCAATGTTATAAGAATTGTTCCATATAGTGCTGTTCAATTTGCAGCATATGAAAAATATAAAAAAGTTAGTAAAAATATTATTTTTATTTATTATTATTATTCTTTTCCTAAATTATTATATATTAAAACAAATTTTATATAGTTACTTATAGAAGATGGAAAATCTGAACTTGACGCAACACGTAGACTTTTAGCAGGTGCATTAGCCGGTATAACGTCTGTGACGTGTACATATCCGCTTGATATTGTTCGTACGAGACTTTCCGTTCAGTCTGCTAGCATAAGTGGGAAAAAATCCAATAGAAAGTTACCGGGTATTTGGTCTACAATGAAATCAATATATCGTAATGAAGGAGGTGTAACCGCATTGTATAGAGGTTTATCACCTACTCTAATAGTAATATTATCAATATCATTATATTATTCTTATTACTATTATTACACTATTATTACAATTATTAATCTTAATTTTTATATGGTAATAGGGAGTTGCGCCATATGTAGCATTAAATTTTCATTCTTATGAAGTACTACGTAAATATTTTACACCGTCTGATCAAAAATCGCCATCAGTAGGAAATAAATTGCTATCTGGAGCACTGGCAGGATCATTTGCCCAAACGATAACTTATCCTCTCGATGTTTTGAGGCGTAGAATGCAAGTAACAGGTTCGGAGTCTGTTGAATACAATTATAAAAGTACATGGGATGCAATTGTACAAACTATTTCCAAAGAAAGTTGGAGAGGTTTTTATAAAGGAATGTTGCCAAATTATTTGAAAGTTGCACCTGCAATAGGTGTTAGTTTTGTCACTTATGAAGCTTGTAAAGATATAATGGGTGAAATCTAAAAAAATCTAAAGAAGCAAAAGGTGAAAATAAAAGATATAGATTTATATTATGTATTACTTAAATAATTTATTCATCATCATCATCAACATTTATCAACATCATCAACAACATCAACCATCAACATCAACATTATCATCGTCATCAACAACATTATTCATCATCATCATTATGTTGTAAATAAAAAATTTGGAAAAAAGGAGTTAAAGAACAACAATTGCATACATTTTATTAAAGAATTATTTAAAAAAATTTTTTATTAAATTACAAATGATAATAGAAATTATTATTAGGATTAATTATTAGTAATAGTAGTAACAATACTATTAGTAATTGTATCAAAAACTATAATAATAATGAATCATTGTCTATTTAATTTTTTTATTATTTATATATATACATATATATATATATATAAATCTTTTTAATTTTAACAAATAAAATAATACTAATGTTTAGTTTTTTGAAGCAGAACCTCTTCTAAAAGATAGTAAAGAAGAATATTGATTATTGTTATTGATAGATTGTTGCCTTGAACCAGAATTTGAATGTTTAATATTATTATTGTTATAAATGTTATTATTATGATTACTATAATAATAATTATTATTATTAAAAGATTCTCTTAGATTAGAAGCAGAAGTTGATTTATATAAAGATGAAAATGAATTACTAAGCGGAGAAGAAGGTGACTGTGAAAATATTGGAGATGAAGTATCTAATAAATTTGAAGTGGAATATGATGCTTTTAAATTCGTAAAATGATTACCATTAATGCTACCATTACTGTTATTATTAATATTATTATATAACGGTGTGGAAGGTGTCGTATAATACGGTGAAGAGGATAAAGATAGTAGTGGCGATGACGATCTAGAATTGTTTGAATCTTCATTGGACGGATTTCTAAAATAAAAATTTTAATTTTACAAAATAAGTAAATAAATAAATAAATAATATATTGGTAATGATAATGACAAATTTACCTAAATCCATTCCAAGATTGTTTTTTAGAAGATGGTTCTTTATTATTATTAGAAAATATAGGACTAGATACATTATTATTATTATTATTATTATTATTATTATTGTTATTATTATTATTATTATTATTATTATTATTATTAGTATTATTATTATTAGTAATATTATCATCATCGTCATCATTATTATTTATTGAAATTATTGGTGATGTTGATGCTGACTGATGATAATAATAATTATTATAATTATTGTTGTTGTTGTTATTATTAATACTGCCACTACTACTATTATTATTACTATTATTATTATTCATATTATTAATATTTGAATTTATTATTGATGTGTTAGTATTTCCAGGTATAATTCGCCTTCTTTCATCTCTGTTAGCTATATTTGTAGTCATTACACCATTTGGTAATGAAGGTGAAAAACCACCAAAAGTGGGGCTTTGTATAAAAGAATCTGATAATGGAGAAAAAAGACCGAATTTTTTATCGACAATTTTATCAAAAAATAGGTCAAGCTTTTCAGATACGATTGACTTTTGTTCGAAATGTGTTTGTGCTAATGTACACTTTTAATAAGATAAGATTAGAGTGGAGAAATAGAAAAAAGATCAGATATATAAAAAATGTGCGCGCGCGTGTGTGTGTATATATATACAAAAACTATAAAGCTTACTAAATTCACACAATCACCTCCATATTCATCCACTATACTATATCTTCTTTGACGACCTGTTAATTCTTGTTTTACAAGGTCGGCTTTAGTACCAACGACTAATATTGGAACACTTGCATATCTTTCACCAATTTTCACATCACAATCAAAATCTATTGAAAAATCATAAAAGGATGTTAATAAAAACAATGATGATTATCGTAATTAAGATAATAAATCGTTATTACCATTTTTCTTTATATTATTATTGTTTGATTTCTCAGTATCTTTATAAGCTTCAGAATTCAAAATTTCTACAACCCATTTCCATAAATTATAATAAGATTTTCTATTACTAACATCATGTACTAAAATAATACCATTAATCTGATGATAAAACATGTTACGAGATGATTTATGTTTAGAAGTTCCACCTACATCAATAAATTCAACTAAATATGATTTACGTGTACGAGGATGTGTATAGAACTAATGATGATGATGATGATGATATTGTTATTATTAATATATATAAATAATTCTATATATAAAGTAATTGCTAACGATAATAATTCTGGACTAACCTTCACATCTACATTACAACCAATTGTCCAAGTTGGGTATCTTAAAGCTTCGTTATAACAAAGCATATGAACAAGACTAGTCTTTCCCTAAAAAAAAAGAATGGGAATAATTCAAAATAATTTTCTCAAGTCCTCTAATAACAATAATACTTTTACTAGAGTTACAAGAAAAATACTCACCACGCCACTATCTCCCACAACAACTATTCTTATCCTATCATAATGTTCCATCTCTCAAATCAATTAAATTAAAAGATCCAAATCTTTGTACTTTTGTGTGCTATATACCGTGAGGATGTGGAATATGTAAAAACTTTGTGATGCGTGACACAAATTTATTTATTTGAATTTTATTTGTATTTTTGTTACACAATTCGTCGTTAACCAATTGCAAATAACCTTCACTATTTTGATAAATAAATAAATAAAAACATTTTTCTTTTTTAAATTTTCCTGCATAAAAAGTTCTCACATCTAATTCATTTCTTCTTTTTTGTCTTTAATCAATCTCTATTATAAACCTAATTTCTTTATTCCTTCCTTCTTTTATAGTTTATCTTTTTATCTCTTCAATCATTCAATTTATTTCACTCGTTCGGGAAGCTTTATTCATTTTCAAAGCTTTACATGCATATATTTACTTCTTTACGTCCTTAAACAAACGCATGCTTTCACTTCTCTCTCACTCTCACTCACCCTTTTAACACAAAAAAAAATGAATAGTTTCAAAAAATTGCGTAAAATTCTTGGACATTTAAAACCATCAAATAATGAACTTTATATTTATATGCCATTATCAGATAATAAAAATGGTTACATAATGGAGTATTATTACCAGAAATATTATCAGCTATTTTATTATAAATATAAAGAGAGTGAATCTGGAACATTGACAAAATATGGTTATTTGATTGTTGATGCAGATACCACTAATAATAATAACAATAATAATAATGGTAATAATAATAATAATACTAACAATTCTAGTAAAAATCAACGTAATTATAGTAACAATAGCAACAATAACAGCAGTGCCAGTGTTAATAAATCACTTTGGTCGAATAAAGACAAAGAATGTATTTTTTATCAAACAGTAGCTGATAAAACTCAAATTGATTTAGAGAATCGATGGATGGAATTATTGAGAAAAAAAGAAAGAATAGATATCAAAGTAGTTGATGGAAATGATAACAATGGATTTAGTGGTGAATATCAAGAATGGAATCAATTGATGCAACATAATAATGATTTCTTATTATCAGATTGTATACAACGTAGAAGATTAGACGAAGTTTTCGGAAATCTTGATTCTAATCGTGATAATAATGATAATAATTATTTAAAAAATATAGGAGTAAAACACGAAAAATTAAAATTTGACGAAATTGATAATTCTGGTAGTGTCAATTTTGATAATTCGAAATCACCAAGTTTATCCGCAAACTACCAATCTTTTACAAAATCTTCATCGTCACCAACAACTAATTCACCACTGACACATCCAGCACTACCACCATCATTGCCTTCAACACCTTCAACACCTCCAACACACTCATCAATTTCACCACCAATGTCACCACCAATGTCACCCAAACTGCATCCTTCTTCTACTTATTTAAGTGAAGGAGCTTCAAATTTGCAAAATTTATCTACAAGTAAAAATCGCACGATGGAAAATCAAGGATCAAAAAAAAGTTATAGAAAATCTAAATTCAGTAGAAAAGAACCTGATGTGCTTGTATATGATCCTGAAGACAATTTAGTTTTTAAAGATTGTAAATGTGATCATTGTATGTGTTTGGTATAATTTATTAACGTAAAATTTATAAAATAATTACATTTATGTAGATAACAAATTGTAAAATATATTTTTATATTATCATAATATAAAAATAATAATAATAAAAATAATGAATGAATTTAAGAGCATGTGACATCGCCTGAAATTTTTATATGTTCTGCGGATCTTCCTATTGGCTGATCTGAAATTTTCATATGGCCCGAGTAACACAATTGACAAAAGCGAGTTTGTCATTATCCGTTTATCAAATCGATAAAACAAATTTATTATTTGACATTTACAACGCATAAGGTAATCTTCTAAATCATTCAAACATAACATTTGATTGGCCATTCATTTTCATTTTACAAAAATATTTTCGGAAAAATAAATAAAAAATGGATTCAACAATATTAGAAAAATATTTTAATGAAAATGAAAGATTATTAAATACAGAGGATTTTTATGATGTAAAAATATATGTAGGCGTAGAACCAAACATAAAAGAAATCCATGCACATGCATCCATCATATGTGCTCATTGTCCATTTTTTAGCATTGCATTAAGTAATGCAACAAAAAAAAATGGTTATTATATTGTTAAAAAAGTAAATATTAATGAACAACCTTTTAAAAATATTCTAAAGTAAGTTTAAACTAACTATCATTGTATTATTTATTTATTTTTATTATTGAATATATTATTTAGTAATATATATTTATTATTTTTAAAAGATTTTTGTATACTTGTAAAATTGAATTAGACAATTTTACTGGAGTTGATGTATTAGAAATATTAATTGCAGCTGATGAACTTGGTCTTGAATCACTTTATGAATATACAATGAATTACTTTATTAAAAAACATGAAGATTATGTAAAAGCAAGTCCAGTTAAAATTCTACAATTGATTTATTCTAATGAAAAATTTAAGGAATTGAAAAATACCTATCTAGAAAAATTTTGTGAAAAATTATTTCAGTCAAATGATTTTGAGTCATTGGAAAAACCAATTTTATTGGAAATTCTCAAAAGAGATGATTTTTCTGTTGATGAGATAGTTATTTGGGAAAATGTTCTTAAATGGGGATTATCAAAACATCCAGAAATCAATAATAACAATCTTAAAAATTGGTCATCACAAAATTTTGTTGATTTAGGCAACACAATAAAGGAGCTTATTTCTCTAATAAGATTTCAGGATATTTCTAAAGATGATTTTTTTGATAAAATTGTACCCTATCAGAAACTTCTTGATGAGTTTCTTTGGAACAGCCTATTACAACACTATGTAGTTCCTGATAGACAACAACAATTAAACTTTTTACCATCAAGAAATATAAAACTTATTCCAAAGCTTGAATCATTGACAATTAATGACAAGCTTACTTTACTTTTTGCAAGTTGGATAGATAGAAAAAACCCACGATATAATTCACTCAGAGAAGTTAAATATGAATTTAAACTTTTATATCGCAGTAGTAGAGATGGTTTAAGTGCAAATATCTTTCATCAAAAGTGTGATAATATCGACCAAACTCTTGTAGTTGGTAAAATACAAAATTCAGATCAAATAATTGGTGGTTATAATCCACTTAATTGGAATGGAAATGGTTATAAAACAACAACAGATATTTTTATATTTAATATAAATAATAGAAATGATATCAATACTGCAGAAGTTAGCTATATTAAAAATAATGAATTTTATCAGAATGCAATTTATTGTAATTCTTCTGATTTACCTAATTTTGGTTATAGTCAGGATTTTCTATTTAAAACAAATGGTCTTATTCATAATAATCCATCTCCATATGCTTATAATAACATCAATATAGTAGATAAAAGTAGATTTGATGAATTGGAAGTTTTTCAAATAATTGATAAAAAATAAATATTCACTTATTATTACTACTGTATTTCTTAACAAATGTGATTTGATTTCGCATCTTCATGATTCAGAGTGAAATTTATGCCACACTTGTCAGCATAATAAACTGGATATTTCTATCTAAAGATACAAAATTGAAATTAATATACATAAATCTGCTGCCATGGAATCCAAGGTTAAAAAAAAAGAACCTAGAAGAAAGTAAAAATAATAAATACCAGAAAAGAAAGCAGAATGAAACCGAGAGAACCACCTGTTAAAAATGTTTAGAAGGAAATAATATGGGTATGGAAGCTTAATAGGGAAGACTAATATTAAAGCAATTAGATTTACCACCAGCCTTTTCTTCTCTCTTTGTATATGTATATGAGAAAAATTACATATAAAAGATAAATAATTCAGATTCATAAATGCTTTATTAAATAAAGAAATAATATTTTCCATCATTCCTCAATCATAAGTCACTATTATCCTTTTTTTTATGACACGTCACATGATGCCTGCTGATGTTTGATGCTTTTCCTCAAATATTATGTCTCAAATAAAGGTTTAAGTGATAAAAGAGATTTTTGTTGTAAGCATATGCCATTTTTTCCGCAACACATTGTATATTCTACTGCAATCTTTTCAAAGCCTTCATTTTACAATAAATATTTGGAAGGTCATAAATTTTTGGAATTTATTTCTAGCCAGGTAAGTAAATGTATCAGAATTTCAAAAAGCTTTGGTCATATATGCGACCCAAATTGCTTCCTGATGTCAAAATTTTAATTAAGGCATATATGCAGAACATTGAATTAATAACAATAATAATTTCGACCATGTTGGAACAATTTATGCTGCACGTATTAGTATAGTGATAGTGGCTGATTCTATTTTACTTTCCCGAACACCGTTAATAATAACTAGCTCACTAGTTAAGTCATAACAACTCTTCAGAAAAGTATTAATTTCATACCTTTCAGTATGATTATAATCTTTAAATGTTTTAACTAGAGCCTACATGCGAGCCTAATCATTGATTTGAACCAACCATCTCTTAAATTGATAATTAAAAAAAATAAAACTTTGACCGAATATTTCTAAAATCAATTGTTCAAAAATACATATGATAATACACGCCTCGAATAAACATTACATTGTTTTGAAATTTTTTTGTAAGCAAGCATAAACGAATCCTTCGAAAAGTTTTAAGCTCAAAATGTCAAAGGCGAAATCATCAGTCTTTTTATAAAAGCAATGCATATATCCAAATTTTTGGTGTTCGTAGAACGACAGTGTCTCATGCTATTAAAAAAAATATATCTTTATGAAAAGAAAAAAATCGAATTGGACATCCTAAATTAACAAATAAGAAAATTTCTTGAAGTCCTTGTCTTTTGCTAGAATTTTTATTTTTGACATAATTATTTAACACAAACACAATATGTTATTACATATCTTGCTAACGTGACAGAAGGCGGCCCCATCAGATTCAAATGAAGTAATCTTTTCCAAGCATTTTTTATTTGATAAAAAAAAAACATAGTTAATATTCGCTAATCATGCCATTTCTTTAAATTAAGAAATCCTAATCTTTTTTTTTTTTTGAATTAAAATGTTTATTATTGATGTTATTCAAACATATTTTGAGAAACCTAGTTTTAATAATACCGTGATAAATATAACAATTAAATTTTTTGTCATCAAATTATCAACACAAGGAGAATTGTTTTAAAAATAGCTTCAAGTAATTCATTTCCTGATTTTTGTAATAGAATAATGAAATTTTTTCATTACTAAATTTGGGACTTGGAATTGGGACTTTGTCTTTTGAGTTTGGGCGGCAAGTATAATTCTGCGGACATATTAGTAAACGCACTCCATAATTAAATAATGAACAAAGGCAGAAAAATTACATATAGGGACGGAGGGTTTATTATAGAGAGAATGAACTGTATCCTTATTTAAAAATAAATTATGATGTTCATGTTTTAATTCTCAACAATGTATTAATTATATATATATTAATTATTTTCACAAAACACCAAGTAAAATTCAGGAAGTGCGTTTTTGTTTAAAACTTCCACGAAGAATTGTTGTATATAGAACAAATAGTATACAACTCATCTAGTTGTTTTCATAAAACACTATTTTTTAAATTAGAATGTTTTTTAATGCTCCAAATTTACATACGAGTAAAACTAATATCACTTACCTTGAGAACTCATTTAGCATTTAATAATATGGTTATTATTTGCTTAAAATTTATAATTTTAAGAACTAAGGGATTCGCAAGCTATCTAATATTAATATTAATCACAAATAACCTTCCGACAATGATTGGATATTATATGCTGAAAATGGATTTTGTGTGTTACGAAAACTAGTTTTTTGGTGTAGCTACTACTCGGGAATTATTTATCCTCTATATTTTTTCTATTCAGATCGGCTCATTGTACTATATTACAATCAAAGATTATAATAAATCACGATTGAATTTTATCCCAAAAATTTATTTGTTGCCTTTTCCTTGCTAATAATATTAAAATAAGAAGGGAAATTACAAAGCATTGATTTAAAATGGGTATTAAAATTATCGGATTTAATCTTTCACCTAATACTCTTAAAACACTTTGTGCCCTTGAAGAATTGGGTATAGAATATGAATATGAACAGCCTGAATACTCAACAATTAAATCACCTGAATATCTTGCAACAAAAAATCCATAGTAAGTAATCTAGTTATTAAAATTTTCTTCTTCCTAAACTTAAAAATAATAAATTATCATCATATTTAATAGTGGGAAAGTTCCAGTAATGATTGATGATGGTTTTACAGTCTACGAATCACGTGCAATTTGTCGTTATCTCATAAAAAAGTACCAAGGAACCAAAAATACTACAATTCTCATTCCAAACGATCTACAAAAGGCCACTTTGGTTGAACAATTCTTATCAGTTGAAAGCTCAGAATTTGATACACCAGCATCAACTATTATTTATCAAGAAATTATTCTCAAGTTTCTGGGTAAAGAAGCTAATACTGAAAAGGTCAAAGAAGCAAAAGGAAAACTTGAACAGACATTGGATATCTATGAAAAAATACTCGAGGGAAAAGATTATTTGACTGGTGAATATTCTTTGGCAGACCTTAGTCATATACCTGGTATCGCTGCTTGTATTGATAAAACTAGCTCTAAAGATATATTTTACGATGCTAAGAGACCCAATGTCGTTAAATGGGTGAAAAGACTTTATGAAAGTCCTGTTTGGAAACAAGTAGTAGCAAAACATAAAATTAACTAATGTAATTCATTATCATTTATTTTTAAAATTTTATCAAAAATAAACTGTTTTTTATTATTTTAACCCCATTGTGCACAATTACTAAAGTTATAACCTGATTTTGGTGGTGGCTTTAAGGAAGGCGGTAAATTTTTTGGTAGACCAGATGGAAGTTTATTTTCCATTAATTTATTCGAACTTTTCTTTTTCGTATTTTTTTTAAAACTTAATTTATCATTCTGATTTTGATTATTATTATTTTCATAATATTGTTGTAAAAGATGGGGATTTTGTGCTAAATATACTTTTAAATAACAATTTAAAAATATATTAATATTATTTATAAATGTTATATATAATTTTGATAACTCATGTACGATAATTACCGTTTGGATCTATGATATTAAAATCAATTCCATATGGCAAATGTGAATATTTACAACTTAATCCAAATTGACAAAATCTTGATTCATTAAATTTTTTACACTGTGGTCTCTTACTATTCTCAATCAATAACTCCACAGGATCTAATAATAAATAAATAGATTTATATGAATTATTATACATCTCTAATGATATTTTATTATTACCGTCACTACCTTTATAATAATCATAATGTATTTTCACATTATTTTGATGTTTTATTCCTTCAAGATGTTTTTTTCTTGATTCCGAATTATCAATAAATGAAATATCACAATAATCACAATAATCTAATCGTTATTAGAAAAAATCAAATGCAAAACTGTCAATATGAAACGAATGAATGAATAATTAGAATAAACGAATAATTCGAATAAAATGAACAAAACGAACAAAATGAATAAACCGTTAGAAAAAATTATTCTTACATTTCTTCCCCATTTTAAATTTTAGCAAAGATTATATGTTACACTTGCTTGATGATGATGACGCAACAATTTTAATCTGAAGATCCATATATATATGTGTATATATTATTCTATTTTTTTTTTTTTACAACTTTAAGGAAAAAAAAACATGGAATGTCTTATCGGAATAGTAGGCAAAGATTTTGCATTGACAGCGACTGATGCTTCATCTTTACGCTCAATTACTGTTTTGAAATCTGATGAAGATAAAACTCGTGATCTTAATAAGCATGTCACCATGGCATATTCTGGTGAACCAGGAGATACAATCAACTTTGCAGAATACATTCAAAGGAATGTTCGTTTTTACGGGATCAAGAATGGGATTGAGTTGACACCAAAAGCTGCAGCTAATTTTACCAGAAGAGAATTAGCTACTAGTATAAGAAGTAGAGTAAGTGAAACATCAATTTTTCTCATTTATCATTGTTATTATTTATATATTTATTTATTTATTTTTCCTTGTAATTAATTAAAAATTATTTTCTTCTTCAATCAACAATTAAATTAAAAAATGATTTTTTAGAAACCATATGCTGTTAATCTTTTAATAGCAGGTTTTGATATAACCTCATCAAAACCAGATCTTTATTGGATAGATTATTTTGGTACTTCTACAAGTGTACCATTTGCAGCTCATGGATATGGATCATATTATTGTCTATCCATCTTGGATAGATATCATCATTCAGAATTGACACTTGAGGAAGCAAAATTGTTGATTAAGAAATGTATAGATGAATTGAAATCTAGATTTATCGTTAATCTTGGCAATTTCAAGATAAAGGTTGTGGATCAAGAAGGAATAAAAGAAATTCAAATTAATTAATAATATTTTATTATTATATTTATATTTGTATGATATTATTATTATTAAAATAAATTTTTTTTTTGAAACAATTCAAAACTCTTCTTTTTCCAAAAAAAAAATAAATTAGTAGAAAGAAATCAGGACAAAAATATCAAATAAAAATAAAAATTCAAAGAAATCAGTATAATTATTTTCACATGAATTTTATACTCATTTTTTGGCACAAATTGGTAACAACAATAAAATAAAAGCAATTTAATGTTTTAATAATATGATAAATGCCATCATGATTAATGATAAGTTTGTTTGTTATATATATATATATATCCACATATTGTGATTCTATGCATTCCAAATCTGAATGAAATACTTGAATCAATAATTCGAATTAAAAGATTGACCATTCAAATAAGAAATTGTATTTCTATTACGAATAGAAACCTTAGTCATCATCATCATCATCATCACCAGTCTCTGAATTTTAGGATAATGGACGAAATTATTTGATAATATCTCTCTTTTAATTATCTTTCAGTATTTGTTGATTGGAATTAGCAATCAAAGTATTTAAAGCTTTGATACGTCTTACTGATTTCTAACAAAATAATAGAAAATATTTAAATGAATGAATTTTAATAAAAAATATCGAGTATTTGCATGTGTTTGTCTTGTATGTTTTTTCTTCCATTATCATCTAAAGTTGCCAGGTATTGATCATACCTATGACCATGTAATCTCCGACTGATATGTTATAATAGCCTTTCATTTGTGAATATATTTTATCAACTAACGATTTGAATCCAGGATTTGGTTACCTATCACTGGAGACTAGCTTCAACAGATTTTTACATTGCTCTTTTTGAAATTAGTGTAATAGATATCTAGATGTACATGGTTTACTTACACAACTTTTTGTCTTATTTTTTGATGAAGCAGAAGCATTATGATTATTTGATTAGATAGTTATCCTTGACTTTTTGTGTTAAAGCTTATACTTCTCCTTGTATAGTAAGGATACTGGCTGCAATTTTTGATGATGGTTGCTACCATCTTTGCGTCATATAAAAATGATTGCAACTGCCTTTATGACCATTTTGTTTCCTATTTTTGAATTGCAACATGGAACACTATTGTATAGCTCTCGTTTGTTTTTAATTCTAATTCCCGATTTCCTAATGTCTAATGAAATTTAGAATCCGGCAAATTCATGTTTGATTTTTATTTGCTGTAAAAACAAGGTAGGATGATTACTATATTCTCCTTATCAGCAATATTTTCATTTCTATATTTAATTATTCCATTTCCATCATTAAAAAACTAACTTATTATTATTTATCGACATTATAATGTTTAATTAGACCAATAATCAATGGCGCGTTCAAATTTTTCAACACCTTGTTCCTTTTTCAAAATACTTCTAATTGTACTATAATTTTTGGATTCCATGGTAGATTTAGTATAGATCAATTTCATATTAATTGTTTTTGTATAGGGGCAATTCTACATATCGTTCAAGAAAAAAAACAAACGTGACATTATAAAATTAATTGTGATGATCATAACTACAGTCAACCCCCTCTAAGTACACCCTCCTTGGGAACATATCACTATTTCTCATGAACGTGCATTTAGAGAGGTATGCATTTAGAAGGGTTACTATAAGGGAATGAGACATGACGTGTATTTAGAGAGTAGAGAGGGTGCACTTGGAGGGAGTTGACTGTAATTGTGATCTCTGAAATACTTGGTACGTAATACAAATGTTCGCTTTGGTTTTGTAAAAATTAAGATTGCATTCCAAAGGAACTTATATACGAAAAGTGGGTATGATTTCTAATCCAAAAATATTCCAGGTGAAGAGTTGCGCATTAACTCAAAATTAGTTTTTTCACATCATGGTCCCTTTCTATTGATAAGCCCCCGTTTGGGGTTTATAATCATTTTAAGCGTGCTTCGATGACAGATTCAACTTGTTTGTCAGTTTCTGATTTTTTTAGGTTCTTGTTCATCAGACTCGATATTCACATCGATCATCCAAATGACAGTATTTTTTCTCTTGCTCTAGTTATCCATAATACTTACTCATGAATTTCTTTATACCAACTTTTCCGTGTTGTTTGTATTGTGATGGATTCATTTTTTATAATGTTAGTGATGGATGTAAAAAAAAATTTATTTAAAACAATTATCACAAAGCAGGACCCCAGGTTATTATAGTTAAACTCCAATACTGCTATGTTGTTAAACTTTACACAATATCTAACGCGTGTTTTTTCAAAGTTAATGTCCTCAAGTATCATAGTAAAAAGCAGCTTTTAAAGAGAGGAACCAAAATCACATGAGATGTGGATGTGTGACAGGTTCAAAAGTACCCGTCTTTTGAGGTCATGCGGTAATATACAAAAGTAAAAGGTAGCAGAAATAACAAATAACACTTAGTTGTATATAATGGATAATCATGTATTCTGATAAAGTTTCACACTCATAGCTTTTAAAACGGATCCAAGCTGGAAAAATTAATTCCAGATCGGAGTCATCTCGGAGCTTTAATTTCAGATAATGAATCCGTCAAAAGGAGAACCAGACATTCATGAATAAACGCATCATCTTGTTAGAAAGAAGATATGTCATTTATTAATAATCAATGATTTATTTATAAAACATCCTAAATGCTTTATTGATATAATTGGTGATTTCGCGTTAAATACGTCGTGTTAATTAAATTCATCGCATTCTTTCGTAAAAAACTGTTTTTGGTGGAAACACCAAAATGCAACTGGAAATTGAAAATTATTTCAGGGCTCAAACATTTAGTTTTTCTCATTTTTGGTAATAAAGGCTAATCTGACTAGTTTACCCCAAGGATTTAAAATTTCGGGGGGGGGGGGCTCTGAATGAAGTATATTGACTCTTTCATTGCTGTCTTTATAGAATAATGACTAAATATCTAGAATTTTGGCCTTCATAGAACAACAGTGTCTCTTACTATTTATTAAAATGCCGAGACGAAAGTTACTAAATCAATAAATAAAAAAATTGTAAAGAAAATATCCATGAATTCTTCAGGTAGAATTTTGCACAAAGTAAATATTTTTCTCGTGTTCTTGGTGCAAACCTCTTGTAAATGAAGTAAAATAACAAATCATTTAATTGGTATCGTGAGAGAAGAAATTGAACTCTATTATTTGGAGCGACGAAAGCAGATTTACAGTATATAAAAATGATGGACCAGAGCGTGTCTAGGAACTCATGATGCCTGGTAAACATGAAATTTGGGTGTTGTTTTTCGGGAAAGATGGTAAAAGCAGAGACTAAATAAGAGTCATTAGTTGATAGAGTCTTTGATGGGAAGGTTATTTGTTTCAAGGTGACAATGCCTGAAAAAATTGTTTGAAATTTGTACACTACAAACAATATTTAAAGTATCGCCCAATTGACCAAGTTAGTCACCTGACTCGAATTAAATTTAACACTCGTGGTCAAAGTTGGAGAGTAAAATGATGTCCAAGGAATATGAAAAATGTTAGATCCTGCATTCATGAAATTTGATCGAGGATATAATCTTTACTTTATTTGAAATTTCAGGTATGATTGTTTTCAACAATTAATTTTGATCATTATTTTTTTTTTAATAAAAATGTTAAAAGAGATGATTCTGCTACATAATAAATGAAATGTTTATGATTTCTTTTGAAGGTCATTGCCATCTTCTTCTTCTTCTTCTTCACCAGTAGTTTCAGCCAAGATGTTTTTTGGCTGTGTCTGCTTATAAGCTTTGTTTTTTTAAAAAAAGTATTAATTAATATAGTATTAACATTAATCATATAAATCTCATTTCAACATTCAACTTACCATTTCCAATCCATTGTGGATCGCCTAATTTTAAAAAAAATGTGTGTGTGTATTAGTTTTTTAATGATGATGTTAATTTTATAAATTTAAAAAAATTGTACATACTCTCGGAAACTTTGGCAAATTTTAATAATGCTTCTCGTGGATCGACATCTTTAATTAAAATCAAAATCAAGTATTAAATAAATAAATAAATAAACCTTGATTAGGGGAGAGAATTTTTATAAAAGTAAATGAACATACCTCTTGTAGTATCTTTGATTAACTCTTTCATAATATGTTGAGTTAAACTGCTACCAATCTTGCCTCCTTTTCCGGGTCCACTAACAGGAAGATCTTTATTTAAAAGTAACAGAGGGTAAATAAACAAATTATAACCAAGCTTTTCTGGTAAATCGACCAATAAAAACAGTATCTACCGGGTCTTTTTGAAGCGACAGGATCTTTACGCAGTTTCTCTCTTTTCCTCTTTGTTGATTTGGGTCTGTCATCTCTGAATGCTGACAATGCATGTGGCGTAATAATTGGTCTATTTATTTCACAATCATCTATTGCTCTCTTCTTAGGTCCTTTAGCAGCACATAACTTAGCACCTCGTGTACTAATTCCGTGATCATAAAATACATTAACTGACCCATCTGAACTACCTGTAAATATCTATAAAAATAGCAAAATTTGAAATCATTCCAATTATCTATTACCTATATAGAGGGATATTATCACATAAATAATTACTTGATTTATTTTAGAATGCCATAAAGCTTTTATCACACTAGACTCTGTAACATCTATTTAAATAATGTTTTTTAAATGATTATGTATAATAATTAGAGATTTATTATAACTAACTAATTCCACATTTTGTAAAATTAAAGTTTGATTTTAACACATGCCTAATGAATGAATAATCTCAAGAGATTCACGATCCATCATAACTAACTTTCCATATCCTTCATTCTTTTTTACTGCAACACCTTTATAAAAAATCAAAGATTTAATTTTTATAAAAAATTTGGAAAAGTGCTTATGAATATATAAAATGATATAAAAATCTCACCCGTTATTATCAATTTCTCGTCCGGACTAAATATTACATTAGCTTCAGGATGAAAGATTGCAAGATTTTTAGCTTCAGCTACAGAATTTTTAAAATTACGTATATCCCACACTATAAAGGGAGAAGTTTTTTAAAATTGTGATTTTAATATAATTATCTAAATAAATATCAAATATAAATATAGTTGTACCTTTTACACAATCATCACCACCTCTGGTTACTATTGTCGAATTATTTCTTGAAAATAATATAGATGATGTTTCACTATTAGGTTGATGAGCTTTCTCAATCGTCTAATAATTTAAGTTTGGCTATTGAATCACTTGAAAGAAACAAAATAAAGGCAAAAATTGAAAATATAATAAACTTACATGAGACGGTCTTACAAATGGACCTTTTGTTCCCCACAAAAACAATGAACCATCAAGAGCAGCTTTAAAAGAAAAAAATTTTATTAGATAATCAATTAAATATCTTCCAATTTTGTAATATATATATATACCTCCGGCCAAAAATCTAGCATCTGGACTATAACATGCTGCTGTTATATTACTTCGACCACCTCTTTGCTTAGACTTATGAACCAGAACATTTTTTTGTTTTCGTTTATTTTCAACATCCCATATTCTATCAAAAAAATTTGTTTTTCATTAAATAAAATAAAAAAAATAATCTTTATTATTTAATCTATCTGCCAATCACCTTATTGTGCCATCAGCAGATGCAGTAAAGAATGTTTTCCTGTCGTTTGGATGCCAACCTCCAGACGTTAAACTCGTTACATGACCACTATTTTTATCAATTATCTTTCTATTAATAATAACAACGATAATGACGAAGATATTTAAAAGAGTAATTAAATTTTACCTTGTATTTCGCATATCTCTTATATAGGGATCACCTTTAATGTACTCCTCACTAAAATAATCAACGAAAAGAAAGGTATGGTAAAAAATACAAAAAATATCATTAAACGTTTAAAAAAAATATATAAAATAATTCCTACAGCTCAAAACCATCACGGTTATAAAGTTTTGGTTGAGAAGAACCTGAAATTATTAAAAATTGATCACCACTCAAACTATACTCCAAATGATGTATCTATAAAAAAATATTTTATTTTTAGATATATCACGTTCAATTATAAAAGATAAATGAACTGATGAATGTTTAATACAACTGATTACTTGGTAATCCCCACATGGTTTAATGGTTCTGAAAGGTTTTAATGTAGAATCCATTCCAGCAAAATCCCAGAATTTAACTTCATAATCAAAACCTCCAGTAATAAGACGCGCACCTGCAGGATCGAGGGCCAGTGCAGTAACGGCCTAAATAAAATATCAAATATTATTTTTTATTAGAATGTGAATAATAAAAAAATCATTTACAAAATAAGTGAGACTTTTTAATTACCTTATGGTGGTCATTCAATTTAATTCTATTTGAAATAGGTAAAGTATCAAGAATACTTTCTTCCGCAACGTTATCATCTTCTTCTTCTTCTTCTTCACTTTCTGCTAATTCGTGTTGTAATTCTAAAGGTTTTTCTATTTCACCGCTTACATCCTTGTTATGCAAGTTTTGTTTTTTTGATAACATTGTCAAAAATTAATAATAATAATAAATAATCGAAATTTTTACTATGTCACATTTGATCTACTTTACGATTTTAAATTAGCTGAGAGAATGGATTTTGGCTTTTGAGAAATTTCTTGGGCTATAAAATGTTATATTCGAGCAATCCATCGTATTTATTAATAATTGAAAATCAATGAAAGAATGTGTTTGAATCATACTGTCGAAGATTAATGTTATAAATTCAGGACTCAAAAATTGACATTCATTTTTGGAAATTGTTTATCTGTGCAAAACCTTTAAAGGGTTATTTTCTTTGCCTAGGTTCCTAGTGCTCTTTATGCTCTTTAAAACTTTTTTTTTGCGAAGAAGACAATTCAGATATACAAATACTATGGAAAGGCGTGATGGACAATGCTGGAGGGATGATGAATCTTTACTCTTTCATAGATCGTCTTAAATAGGAATTAGAATATAATGTTATAGTTGATGAAGTTTCAACGGAAACTGCTTTAGGTAAAAATTATGTGACAGTTTAAACAACTATTACTCTTAGAATGGTAATATGGACAATACCAGATTTATTTACTCTACGGTATTAGGTTTTGCCACAGAGTCGACAAAGACTTTAGGATCCTCAAAATACCCGTCACTTTCTACCATTTCACAAATTAAAAAGGAGATGCTCAGCAATAAGCTGATTCAGGAAGTAAAAGCAGATATAAGTAAGTGCCAAGATTTTTCATCCCATTTTTTAATTTGATAAAAAAATAATTATTATTAATGCTAACGAATTCTTCTTTCTCTTTTGAATTCAACTTCAAATAAAAAAATGTCTATAATTGATTTATTTGAAAAAAGAAATAATACAAGATGATGATGACATTGATACAAAAATTGACCGGCAAACAAAATTATAAAAAATATATATAGTTTCTACTCATGTCATCTCTAATGAAACAATTTTCACAAATTTTTACTAGGAGCAAAGAAATTTAAATAATAACTTCGCTTTATTAAAAAAAAAATTTTCTGATACAATCATAGACGAGACTCTACCATTAAATGTAAAACCAAGCATAGATAGTTGTTTAAACATTTGCCATCTCTAATACGTTAATACCTGCGGAGTTTACCAAAGAAGTATTTCTTTAAATTAAATTTAATTACAGATAAGTAATTTCTTACTCTATTATGAATAAAGGGCTATCATTTATCCTTATAATCAATTCATAAAACATTTATAACTTTTTCTAATGTAATGGCATCAGATGTAATCATGGCACATTAAAAGCAATAGTAGTAGGCAGCAGTAGCAATAGAAATAGCAGTAGAACGGGAATGAGATGACAGTAGTGGGGTAATATAGGAATAAACTCGTTATATACAAATTCCATATAAACCATATACTACTGTATTATGTAAATCTTGTTTTTCCCCAAATTTTCTAATTTTGGTATATAGAAACTTAAATTTTATTTTGTCACATATTATATCCAATAAAATTAACTTCCGCCATGCTACATCGAATTTCTACCATGCAATCTATCTTATCAAAAAAAATTTGATGATCAATAATAACATGGATGGGTTAAGCTGGCCAAGTAAACAAACTTAATGATATAATGTTTATACTTATATATAGATTATATGTTGACATTAACATAATTTCATTATTGCTAAAAATAAAATTGATTTAGGCATTGGTACTAGACAAAGACTAAATGAAACAAATGATCAAAAAGAGGAACGTAAAAGAAAACTTGCCGAAGCTGTTAAAACAATGATAGAATGTCTTGGCGAAGATCCCAAACGTGAAGGTTTATTAAAAACTCCTGACAGATATGCCGAAGCATTAATGTTTTTTTCAAAAGGTTATGAAGAAAGTGTTGAACGTATGTAAAGATCTTTTTCATTATAATAACATAATAATATAATAATATTAATAATAATAGTATATATTTTTATATTAGAAATCATAAATGATGCAATTTTTGAAGAAGGTACTAATTAATATTATATAAATATTGATTTCAATTATAAATAATATAAATATTGATTTTAATGATATAAATACTAGATCATGATGAAATGGTAATTGTAAAAAATATTGATGTGTTCTCATTATGTGAACATCATTTAGTTCCCTTTACTGGAAAGGTAGGCGATAATCTGATCATTGTGACATTAATATATCTCTTTCTTTATTTTGTTGAAATAATGATATATATTTTGTAATAAATAAATAGATAAGTATAGGCTATATTCCAAATCGTCGTGTTCTTGGTTTGTCAAAATTAGCAAGGATTGCTGAAATGTTTTCAAGGAGACTTCAAGTACAAGAACGTTTAACAAAACAGATTGCCAAAGCTCTGCAAGAAATACTTAAACCACAAGGTGTGGCTGTTGTCTTGGAAGCAAAGTAATTAATTTAGAATAAATAAATTTGTAAATTTTTTTAATTGATTGATTATCAATCAATCAATTTTCTCATTATTTTATTTGTTGCATTTCTTTAGTCATTTATGTATGGCAATGCGCGGAGTACAAAAACCTGGAAGTACTACAGTGACAAGCGTTATGTTAGGTGTATTTAGAGAGCAAGCTAAAACAAGAGAAGAATTTTTAACTTTAATAAAAAGTTGATGATGAATCCTATCAAAGACAATTTTTAAAAATAAAATAGATAAATTTTCATTTTTAATTAATTAATTAATTACTTTAATTTAATTTTAATTTATATTTAATTAAATCAATGTAATGTAATAATATTTTTAAAAAATAAATTGCCATGATTTTCAATTTAGCCAATCATATTAATTTTAAAATTCTATATTAAACTAGCGCGTTAACGCGAGCATAGTGGAAATTTTTTGTTACACTTAATGTTATACAGAACCCATTGCTCTTGAAACTTCGCCAGTATATAGTTGTTACTTCTCTAAATTGGAGATCAAGTTCAGATCCAATTCAAATCTAGTTTACCACTTACTTAAAGTTACATTGCACAATATAAAAAATTAGTGTAACATTTCAAATTCCCACTATGCTCGCGTTAACAAACTTTATTCTTGTAAAATTTTTTTTTATCTAATCAGTCTGTTATTCAGTAAAAAAAAAAAGAGATATATAAACATTTGCTGCAGTAAACATGTGACGCTGTGAACTCTCTATAATAACGAAATATATTAATAAAGATGTTTTATTTCAGAAAAATTTACACAATTTTATTCACATAAGCAAAGACAACGTCTCATTTTATATTTATTATTACGTTCTAACATTGTTCTAATGTTATTAAAAACAATATTTAAAAAGTTTACATAGTCTGCGTGATTATTAAAAAAAGCAATTTCCCCGAACCAATGACCTTTATATTTTCTTGTATTGACATCTACATTTTTATCAATAAATTTCAAAGGTTTAAATTATTCAAACTGTTAAGCATTCTGGTTGTCCACATTGACAGAGTTGGGTATTTGCTTCGGTCTAGAATTTTTACCACGATGTTTACTGTTCTTATATTTGGTGAAAGTGGATTATTATCTGGAACTATGGCATTATAGCTTTCTAATGGAGGCTCTCTATGTTAAGCTATGTTTATTCAAAAACAGCATTACTTTTTATTTCAAAGCTAAGATTTTTTACCAATATT